GATCAACTGCAGTATATTAACTAAAAATAGTAATAAAATTACTGCAAAAATAGTAATAAAATAGTTTAAAAATATGAATAAAATACTGATAAAATAGTAATAAAATAGTAGAATTTAAAATAGTGATAAAATAGCGAACAAAATAGTAAAAAAAATAGTTCAAAATTCTTATAAAATAGTATAAAAATAGTAATAAAATTGTAATAAAATAGTCGAGAGTCATAACAGTTCTAAAATGATTAATAAAATGGTCATAAAATAGTCAGAAAGTAGTAATAAAATAGTTATAAAATAGCAATAAAAGAATAGTAAAATAGTCATAAAATAGCAATAAAATAGTCAGAATGTAGCAATAAAATAGTTATAAAATAACAATAAAATACCTAATAGTATATAAAAATAGTAGCACTGCAACATAGTTCTTTATAAAGTAATAAAATTGTAGTATGATAATTAAAACCAGTTAAAAAATAGTAATGAAATAATATCAAATTAGCTTAGTACCATGGTTGACAGGTATATTATCGTTAAAAATTGTATAAAATAATACACATAAAACAGTTTGTATTCTTATTAGCTGTCAATGCTAGGTTGTGACAGTCTAACAGCGGCAGGGGTGAATGGGGCAGGTTAAGCAGTGTCAAATCAATGGCATTGTTTACAGGGACACTGGAACTGGGGGGGCAGGAGGGGCAGCCGCCCCCCTTAAAATTGTCTAGCTTGAGACCACACAGTTAAATATTGTGTGCAGAATTTAAAGTAGGGAGTGTTAAGGAAAATTACATCTAAATATGTCAACATGAAACATCATGGGTATGAAATATCATGAGTCTAGCTGGATACTTTCCTTGGCAAATAAAATTATCCAACATTAGGCAAGATACAGAAACATTTAAATATTAACAAACTGCTGAAAATTGGGCACTTCGGAGTGAAATGGGTAATTTCACCATTGTTGTGACTTGCCGGGTTGTGTCTAAAGATATATAAAATGTAGCCCAAAGGTTGTTACATATATTATTAAGCAGATCATGCAGGTGGTATAGATAAATGTATTCATATATTATAAACTTTGAACAAGCAAACAAAGGACTTTGACTGTTTCCAGTTAGGGCACTTCCATAATCAAGTTGCCACACAACAAATTGATCAAATTAACATTTTACCTATTAACCGACCCACCCGGCATTAAAAACTTAAGCATGGCTTACAAAGGAAATTGAAATTAACCCTCTATACCCCCATTCCATTGATATCCTAATACATTGTAATATTACCCTCAGATGTTAGACATGGTAAAATCAAACAGAACTGAAAGAATTCAGCTTTGATGCAACCAACACCTGGTGTTAGACTGAGAGTGAAAAAAAATTAAAGTAAGGTATATAAGTGCTATAATGGTAAAGTGCATGAGACATCCTTTTCCGGCTGATAATTTCAGCAAATATACTAGATAGATATAAGTAGAAAATAATATAACGGCATGTCTTGCAAATATAATGACATATCTTGTGAAACACTGCTGAAGGTGAATCATATTTGATTCAAAACATACAGTTTTCATAAATTGTGTGTTATTTACTATATAATGCACTCCTTATTCAGAATAACTTTTATTCTATGACTATTATGTAACTGAGACATGCACATTTAGCTGGGATATGCCTAGGTATTTATAAGCATATAAAGAATTGAGGATTGAAACTTGAGTAGATGCCAAGCTATAATATATTAATTTTGATACAAGAAACACTGCCACTGGAATCTGGCAATACACAACTATTAACTATTTGGCATTAGTTAATACAATAAACATAATTTAATATAAAGACTTCAGGAGTCAAATGTAAGCTTTGAATTAAACTAACGTTTTATATCATCGTTTTAAATATTGTCGCGGCAAATTCAAATTTTAAGCCGAAACATCAAGCACGTGCATTCTCAAAATTCAGGAATGAAGATTGAAGTAGAAAATATTTCCTTTCAAAATTGCTCTATTATACATAAAACATAACAAGATTCTTAGCTGGATATTACTCTGTCATCCCTGATGTTTCATCTTCGCTTATTAAGGCTTCATCGGGTCGGCAAATTCAAATTTTAAGCCGAAACATCAAAGGTCATCAAACACGTGCATTCTCAAAATTCACGAATGAAGATAGCAAATATTTCCTTTCAAAATTGCTCTATTATACATAAAACATAACAAGATTCTTACCTGGATATTACTCAATCATCCCTGATCTTTCATCTTCGTTTATTCACGGTTAATAAGGCTTCATCGGCTCGAAATATCGAGCGAAATATTGTAACTTCGAAATCACGAACTGATTATAAAAAATGGCGGGGTGTAAATTCAGTGCTTCCACTTCCACTTTCAAAAAAATAATTTCCTTCCCAACTGCTCAAAATTTCCTTATTTTTGACAAAAATTCCTTTGATGAAGATGAATTTTACCTAGTTTAAAACTGATATTACAATAATTTATCCTGAATGACGGTGTATTTCTCGGGTGAGAAACACCATGAACCTTGCAATTATAAATTATAAATTAATTATAAAAAACTGCAACAGCAGGCTTGAGCTCATGTCTCAGAAATTTTTCAGATTTTCCATTCCCCAGGAGTAGGATTTGGATTTTTGACATTTCCTGACGCGAATTTGCTTGGGAATTGCTATAATCTTAGGATTTACTAGAAATAACATAATATCCTCATTTCCTTGCTGAAAACAAAATTCCTTGCCGTTTCCTAGTAAATTTTATTTCTTGTTGCAAAGAAATGTCCTTGCAAGTGGAAGCACTGCATGGGATGACCAGTGTAGGCAACAGTTGAAGCCTCCCCCTTTTCTCACCCTCCGCCCCTCACCCCCCCTTCCATTATTAATGATTGGTCCCTTATCTGTGTAACTATAAAATACGGTTCTATTTTATTTCATTTTGCTAAGTAGGAAAATTCAGAATGTTTTAATTTAAATAGACTATTTTATACATATCTGCAAATTGTAATCCTGAATCCCGGTAAATGTAAAATAGGATTAAAATAGTGTATTTTATTATATTTTGCAAATTAGGGAACGTAAATAGGTTTAAAATAGTATATTTTATCCCTATTTGAAAAATGTGGCAGTTTTAAAAATGTGCAATAGGTTTAAAACAGTCTATTTTATTCTGTTTTGCGTATTCTGAAAAATAAATAGCTTTAAAATACTATATTTTATATCTATTTTAATTTATGTAATATTCTGCACGTGCAAAATATGCTTAAAATAGTCTATTTTATTGTTATTTTGCTAACTATGAAAGAAAGATAGGATTAAAATAGTATATTTTATTCCTGTTTGAAATTTGTGCATTTAACTTCCAATGTAAAATAGGATTTAAACATGCAGCCTATTTTATTTTATGGGTTTAAAAATAGTATATTTTATATCTATTTTAATTTCTAACTGCTTTCTGGTGAAGTAAAATAGAATTTAAATAGGCTATTTTAAACCTATTTTTTCCCTGAGGCTCTGGAAAATAGTATTAAAATATGCGATTTTATTTTTTTCTTGCGGTCCGAAGTCATATTTTACGCTTTTCTGCAATCTGATTGGCTACGTGAGCGGTCCGTATGAGCCCGTACGGACCGCGCGAGATTTAAAGCCGTAAAGCCAATGTTTTTATTTTTCAAAATTTAAAGACGAGGTTAAAGGCTACTTTTTAAAACATTAAAATGTCTGCATGCAGACGATGAAAAACATAGTGAAAACGAATTTTACTATCTCACAAAAGATATTTCTCTTCCCGATAGCATTGATAGAAACGACGTTTTATTTGGCAGCTTCATTCGCGTGCGGGAGGATTGATTGGGGAAATCCAGAGGAGGAATTAAAAAAAAATAAAAATATTATTTACCGGTATGGTCGGTCCATATAGAGAAATATTTCTCTCGGTCTTAAAAACGTCCCTCGGCCTTCGGCCTCGGGCCGTTTTTAAGACCTCGAGAAATATTTCTCTATACGGACCTCCAATCCGGTAAATAACATATATTTATTTCTATTATCTATAAAAATAGGAATAAAATAAAATAAAACATTAATAAAATATGGCTCTTTCTTTTAGTGAAATATTATGATAGAATTAAAATAGGGTTGCCTCTGAATAAAATAGCATAAAAATAGGGATGATAGTAATAAAATAGTTTTAAAATAGCAATATAATATAGTTATTTTCGCAAGGGATATAGTTCCTCTTATTGTAAGTAACTTTAAATGAGGAAAATTAATCAATATTTATAAATCGAATAAAGATTTGTCCTGATTTATATTAACTTCAGCTTTGATTTTCTCGGCTCCGACAATGTTTATTTTTAAAATTACTTTGCCAAATAACTCATAAGATGGGTCGTTTTTAAGCACGTTAAAACATTCGCATCCGATCTTTATATGATAGAAAACTCTCGCCTTTGGCTCGAGTGTGTATATCAGATAAAGATCGGCATGTCATGTTTTAACTAGTACATATAATACTTAAGGAATCAATGTCACACCATGGTATTGCACATTTTTGTTATTGTTTTTATCTATTGTTAGTAGGCCTAATATGGCAATGGACAACTTGCGCTTTAGACTAAATTTTAATCTAAGTAAGAACAACGAAATCTATCAAAACAGCTACAAAGAGCGTCTTGGAATTAGTAGTATTACAAAGCTTGGTTGCGAAATGTTGTAAAATACGGAAAATATATAGCCCTTCAAAGTTGGCAAATTTGTATACTTTTATATTACGTGCGTGAATTGGCAACTAAATTAGTTACCAATTTCCGCACGTAATAGAAATGTATACAAATTTGCCAACTTCGCAGGGCTATATTTTCCGTATTTTACAATATTTCGCAACCAAACTTTGCAGTTTTTCTAATTTTGATAACTTCTTTCCGTAAATATCCTTTGTTATCCCCAGATTAAAAATTTTTCTAAAGCGCAAGTCATCCATTCATCTCTCAGTTACTTTCCAGGACCAATTAAGACGTCTGTTTTGTTATTGGCAGATGTTTCAATCAACGTTATTTTTGTTGGTGACATAAGTTTTGCTCGTTGTGTGAAGAAGTATGTTGATCATGGATACAATAATTACAATGATACTATGACAAAAATCGCGGGAATTATCAGAGAATCAGATATTGCTGTTGGAAACCTCGAATCGCCGTTGGTGACTAAAGTGATGCTAAAATATAGGTTTAACGGCCGAAAACAAGTCTTTATACACGCTGACTATCGTAGTGCGACTGCGCTACAGTAAGTTTTCTATTATACCATTGGAGTTTAAAAATCGATAAAGCTTGTATGCAAGCTAAATAATAAATGTTGCATGCTGTTCCCTATATGTTGAATATAAATTTCTCTGGTAAGAATATGAACATTTCAAAGAAAAATTAATATTTCAGGAATGTTATATATGTAGGAATTACTGAATATTTTTACTAGGAATATTGAATATGGAAGACTAATGCATTTTGCTTCCAACTCCGAATAAAAAAAAACATCTCAAAATGTCAACGAGAGCAAATTAACTTGAACACCAAACTGAAATTACTAACAGTTTGATCAAGTAAAAACAGTTTATCAGGAAAAGCTGCTCTGTTGAATGAACACGTCGAAACTTTATACGAAGGAGCGTTTGGCATTAAATTTATATTAAATCAAAGCTTACAAAATGTAAAACAATATACATTTAGAGCATTTGCACATGACGTCACAGCCATGTTGGTTAATTCCAATTCAGAAGAATTTTAATCAGACTCTTTTGTCTGGAACAACAACATGGCTTTTGTTGACTTGGTCCCTGAGGAATGAGTGCAGTGTATATATCGGAAACTTATTTATTGTTGTAAAAATACTAATTAATCTTTTTAAAGTGTGGCCATGAAAACACGATATTTTTAAATACTTTTTTTTAACGATACAAAAAAAAATAAAAAAATATTGTGTTTTCATGGCCACACATGACGCCACAACACGAGCCTTCCGCCTTCGTTCACTGTTGGCCAAATACAAACACTTCATGTTATTGAAATCAAAGTATAGAAGATATAAGCGAGGGCTTGCTGCATACAGTAACATGTATTTCTATGATCTGCTTTTTTGCCCTTCACTTGGTAGTATTAATATTTGAATGCTGTTCCTAAGAACAGCATTCAAATACATGTATTCCTAGTATATATTAATATATATATATATATATATATATATATATATATATATATATATATATATATATATATATATATATATATATATATATATATATATATATATATATATATATATACACTGAATCCAGAAAAGTTTGACCTTCGAATATATATATATGTCGGCCATTTTGACTTTTCTTGGGTTAATTATACGCGAACGCATACATCAAATGTCGCTCGCAACGTATTGTATATTGCAATATTATTCCAACAGCTCAAATGAATAAAAGAATCATTGATTGATGTCTTTGCACATAATCATAATGGCTAGTAGGAATTGAACATTTGGAAATGAACATAATGGCTAGTAGGAAATGAACATTTGGAAATGAACATAATGGCTAGTAGGAAATGAACGTTTCTGCTTCGCCAGGTCACGAATGCTGCGTGTGCTGAGTTTCAGGGGATGAAATATCGAATGACTATCGATTCCGTTAAAATTTCCGTTGGCAAAATATAATAATTCTGGACGTAGGTTACAGCTATAAAATAAGCACAAGTGAATACGAAAGAATAAACAAAGAAATTCATCGAGAG